TGCTCTGAAACGAAAATGAGCCCGTGGAATCGGCCAAAACAAATTCCACGGCTTCATTCATATCACCGAGTTCATATGGGTCTTCAGGATGAACATCAGGCTTCTTGATTTGTAGCCGCTGGTGCACACGGTTCCAAAGGGAGGCGGGGGCGATTGCAGTTCGAAACGCACGGGACTGCTCAACCGGAGACAGCCGTTGCTTTAGTAAGAGGTATTTCGAAATGACCAGGAAAAGGCGGTAGAATTCGCTATATTCAGCGCGTGAGTGAATCCCAGAGCTGGCGTATTTGCCAATGAGCGCGTGGAGGTCTGAGGTAGCATATTTGCGGTCAGAATCCGTGCCAGGATAAAGCTTCAAGACTTCTGCTTTCCATGCGTCGTAGTTGTGGGGCGCCGAAAACGAGTCTAGGGACTCCCAAAGTTCGGCTTCGTCAAAAGGGAGGAACCGTAGAGCGTGGCGCTTCCGTTCTTGAGCATCCGCAATGCCGGCAAGCCCAAAATGGTATTCCAGGTCCGTGAAAAATCGAGGAAGCTCACGGGGCTTTGATGGGTCGAATTCAGGTGCTCCTCGGGCACCACGGGCGGGCATGGGCACAACACCTGCCATGTTCTGGTTCGGAGGTGGTGGAGGCGGTGGAGGTGACGGAGAGGGTGATACGGGACGGAGAATGAAAGACGGTGATGAGGACTGCGACGAGGACGAGGAATCGGTAAGGGAGTCGATGGTGGGCAGGTTAGAATCTGATGACTCCAAGTTGTAGGGATGAGGGAGTTCGTGAGGAACAGGAACCAGTAAGTCCTCTGAGGACGAATCAGTGATGCGCTGCGTCTGAGAGATTGAGAGGGTTCTGGGAAATAGCCCTGAACTCTAGACGAAGATTTCGAGGTTCAGAAGGGCGGAGGGCGCGGTTAGAGCCTGAATCAATGTTGTAATTGGAACAAATCCCGCCAGGGGTTCCAAAATGACACGCCTACGGAGCGTATGAGCGCGCAGCTGTACGGGGAGAGACAGGGGGCTAGTCGGAGGTGGTGGGGAGGGAGCTGCGGCTCGAGCTCGCGCAGTATAGTGTGTGGGATTCTGATCCTAACAAGGTCAGGCTCGGGGAAATGGGCTTAAAATGGGACGATAATGACGACGGAGGACAGGACAAGAGGACGATAGAACGACGGGGAGATCAATATGTATGTCTGTAGCACGAAATGGGGGTTTGGGGGCAATGTTGGGAAAATAATGCAGAAGCAGGCGCCGAGAAAGCGAGATAGAAAGTACTGGGAAGTCACTTTAGACTCTAGAGAGTGGGTGAAGAAGATTTCTTGTTTTCTTGTACTGTACTACAGGTCTTTTATACTAAGTGTGAATCAAATCCAAAGGAGATAAGTAACTTGAACCTGCTGTTGATATGGTGACCATTGAGCTCTATGTTAATTTATTTCTTTAGTCAGTGCTGAATTTCGCCGAAATGAATGAGTCCTGTGAGCACAACAAGGAGACGAACTCCGAAATAGGACCCCGCCGGAGGCATCCAGTGATGACCAGAATGATCACGTGCAACAACCTTGATGAGCTCGCTGACAAATCCATTGAGATCTTTCAGTGCACGTGATAGATTGATCAAATGATCACGTGCAACAACCTTGACGAGCTCGCTGACAAATCCATTGGATCTTTTCGTGCACGTGATCGATTGATTTCAGGGCTAGGGCGCATCACTGCTCGTCATCGTCCTCCTTCGTCTGTTGAAACAGTAGGTTGCCAAATGTTATCCTTGTGCTTATCATCCTGCCGTTTGTTACGACTGTGCTGGTGGAAGGGATTGCCCTTGAACAGTTGGTGGTAAAAAAAACAAGTTCTCTTGGGCCTGTTTTCCGGGATCCTAGCCAGTTACCTCAGTTAGACAAGAAACACGTAGCTCAATGCTGACAATGTAAGAGATTTTCCATGTGATTAATTACCAACGGCCCGGATTCATTGCGCAAAGGTGAGCAAAATTCCACGGCTCGGACTTTGGAATTCTTTCTAATCCGGACCTAATCTCCGCGCACCAAAGGTCATTTTGTCCATGATGACAGTACCACTGTATGTACACTGCGCGGTCCATAGACTGATGGCGGGGGTAAAAATAGGACTTCGTAAGCAAGAATCTCGAATCACATGTTATGATGACACCTTCAGGACGATAATCCACAATGAGTTTCCGCTCACAAGATGCGCCCGCTGGCGACGGACGCGTCCGGGGATCGGAATTTCATTTCATTCATCCACATTTTGCGCGTTTCGAAGAGGTTGGATCAAGATCATTTTCGATCGCATGTTCAAGGCAGAGAGTTATTTTTAGTGTCTGGTCTCCGATGCCGAAATTAGCGCTCTGTGGGACTCAAATTGGTTCCCAAAATGCTGAGATGCGTTGTTCTGAGCGTGAACGCAGTGAATCTTTCGCTCAATCCATGGGCATCTTTGTGCTGCTTCCTCGAAGGAATTAAAAACTCTATCCTCTTGATAGTTTCGTGCTTTTTCAGCCGCTCTTTTTATCGGTCTGAGGGGCAAGTGATGACACTCATTCGAATTATTTCTAGCTCTTTTGTCCCAAACTTCATGTTCAAGCTCTGAAATTGCTCATCTAGAGAGAAAGAAAAAATCCTGGAGACTCTTTAGGAAAAGAAGCCCTCAGCGATATTTTTTGCATATTTCAAAATGCAGAGAGATCATGATGTGAGAAAGATTCTGCACTGCCCTACTTGATCAAAGTATTTACCAAAATTTCCGGCCCTGCCATTTGTCAAAGTTTCTGAAGAAAGCTCTCGGCACTTACGCACTCAAAATAATCGAACCACGGTAAACATGGGTAAAAACCGTTTCATGAACAAGATAGAAAGCTGGCAAATTAGATGATCATATTATTGGTTCTTTATAAGCAAGCCTTCAGCATGACGATCAGAGCTAAGGGAGAGCCGCTCAAAGTGTATTTTAGAGAGAGAGAAGAACATTTTTACGTGGGCTCGTTTGAGTCTTGAAATGTTCATTGCCAGATGCAGAATGTTGCCGCGGTTATCTAAGCCTGGTCCATTGCCTCGCTTAAGGCTTTTGGGTACCAACCAAACTCCACCACCGCGTTCTTCCGATTTGTCTTCGGCTGATGGATCAGACCCCCGTGTCTGGCTTCAAGTCCTGCTGACAGTATATAATCCGGGCATTCACTCCTCACCCTTCGCTCATCCATTTCCTTTCATCTCGGCGGGCTTTTCCCTGTGAATATCATGGAGCTCTTCCCATTCTTGGGCTACTACTACCGTTCCGTGGTCTTGTTGGTGCATAACGCGGTATCCATCCTCACCCGTCGCAGCGAAAAGATCCCATCCTCGCGAGACGACTACGATATCGACGAAGTCACCGGCTTCCTTCCATCTTCGCCTCCTCCGCGTCTATCCGATGCTTTCGCCTTGTGGGAGCAGGCATTGACAGAGGCCCATACCCAAGTCTTCCTATGGGGCGATCAGTCTGAGGACTCGTCGGGAAAGCGCCTCTCCTCGGAAGCATGGCGGACGAAGATTCTATCTGTAAGTCGGTTCCCCGCGCTTATGATCTGCGCTCAACATCTTTCAAAGTTGCCCGTGATTGACACAAACGTGCTGCGAGGAAATCTCCGTTGTCTCCAACGGGCACATGTGGTTCTCGCGTTCCTCACACACTACTTCATCCACTCTGCTCCGCCGGCAAGTTCGGATCTCCCTTGCCTGGTTCCCAGGGCTCTTGCGGTTCCACTCGTCGCTGTTTCTCGTGATCTCGGCATTGCCCCGGTTCTCACCTACGCTGACACCGTGCTTTGGAATTACGAACTGATCGACACGGCCCAGCCGGCATCGGCCACCAACATCGAGTATCACAATTTATTCTCCGGCACCGAAGACGAGGCCGAGTTCTATCGCACATCTGCGATGCTCGAGCTCCGTGGAGTGGAGCTGCTCAAAATCATCGACGACTTTCATTCTCTACCCGACCTACACGACCTCTCTGGAATTTCTGGACTCTCACGCGATCTGACAAGACTCATGGGTATTGTGGCGGATATCAGCGACATCATTCAAAGCGTTCGAGACAGCGTGGACCCTCACGTTTTCTATCATGCGATCAGGCCCTGGTTCAATGGCAGCAAAGCGAATGGCTCTTCGAGCCCCGGTTGGGTCTACGAGGGCGTAGCTGACTCGGACAAATTGGATCTGAGTGGCCCTTCCGGAGCACAGAGTAGCACCATGCACGCCCTCGATCTATTCTTCGATGTTGACCACAAGCTGAAGCTGCCGCGAACTCCTCTGCCTTCTGCCGAAAATCGCCAGTCTGACACTGGGTTCCTGGAGCGCATGCGCCGATACATGCCAGGCAACCACCGAGATTATCTAGATTGTCTTGCAAACAGCTCAAGATCGATCCGTGCGGTTTCTGAGAGGACACCAGCCCTCCAAGAGCCATACGACAATGCTGTCATGGCGCTCAAAAAACTGCGTGACCTGCACATGCGGATTGCATGTCGCTATATTATCACCATGTCCCACTCCCATCCGCATCCGACTCCGGTGCGCCCTGTCGCGGCGACAATGCGCATAGTGCAAAAAAGTAGTGGGACCGGAGGCAACGAATTGGCTGTGCTCCTCAAAGCAAGCCGCGATGCGACAAGGCGCACCTTGCTGAAGCAGAAATAGTTAACCCGTATTCATTGAAAATGATAGATCACGAAAATGACTGATTCTGAATGATGTAAGATCCTGTGACAAATTTGTGCATTGGGAAGCTGATGACTCAGAGTGCAGTTGTCGGGTGGGACCAGGGACGACCTCTTTTTGAGTCAGCATACATGAAAGTGCCGCGGAGCGGTCCTGGACTGGGTTCCGTTAACAACTCGCGGCCAGATCACCGGAAGTGATGAACACGACAGTTTCCTTGACGGAGCATTGGACACATGCAAAGGATGTTTTATGCACTAATTTGTCACAGGATTTTGCATCATTCACAATCATCCATTATCGTGCTCTATGATTTCTAATGAATACGGGAGGTGATTCGAGCTGCATTCTGTGGTCGGAGCCGGGAGGCCACCGCTCGAGCTGGGTCGTCGACGATCGCAAAATGTCAAGGGGGCGTTGGGCCCGTGGGGCTGCCCGCATCACTCTTGATCGCGTCACATAATCGAGTCCTCACTGCTGACTCGGTTATGTAAGCAATGGCGTCCGTCCCTTCCTCTTTCCCTTCATTTCCCGCGAACATATCATAGGCATGCAAATCACATCCAATCGCAGGCAAACTTTACCTCCGCCTCCCGCCCCCGTACGCCAATTTCATCATCACCCCACCACGCGCGTCCGACGCCGAAGCGCTCTTGCACATCATGCGAGATCCCGCGGTGCACAACTGGCTTGCGAGGCCAACTGAAAGCTGGTGCCCCGACGACGCGCGGCTGCTCAACGACGCGTAAATTGCGCAGGCCCAGTCCGTGTTGCACACCATCCGGACGGCAGACGAGGACCGGGTCGGCAACTGCCCGCTCCGTGCGATCCGGGAAGTAGTGGTCCGGGCGCTGAAAACAGCCACGTCAGAAATGTCTCTATCAAACGGTGCGGGTGGTTCGATGTGCCGAGTGCCCACAGGATATCGTTGATTACGAGGCTCGCGCAGCGGGGCACGAGCAGCTCGTGTGGCAGGTTTCTGGTACGTCGGTTCTTCGATTCAGACTTTTTCATGACTGTTCCCGCCGTCCGCCTTGTTTGGGATTGCTGGGTCGGTCGTTCACTCGCTGCATATTCCCCTCTAGAGTTCCTTGCCCCGACACATCACCGGCGAGTGATCATGACTGCCGCGTTCTCAGGGGTCTTGTCGACGTGGTTCGTCCCAAGAATAAACGCACGCAAGATGCATGTTTGCGTGGGGAGTGCGGGCAGCATGCGAGTGCTTGAAAAGCTTGGTTTCGTGCTCACTAGGACCATGTAAGACTGTCTGATGGTTCAAGACGAGAAACGAGGGCTGCCTGTGCTGGATTGGGAGTATCACGGTGCCCTTTTGATATTATCACCTTCATTGAGACCAAAGAAGACCGATGTGGGGTAGCCCATGTGCCTGAACAACCTACATCTCGTCCAATCACGGGACTTCCGGGCTATGTTTCTATCTATTCCGACTTATGTGGAGATTCGACATTATGCGATCTCGTAATCAGCCCATCTCACCCAGCGGAACCACCACCAAAAACGCACCATCGATGCCGGGAAGATCGCATACGACTTGCCCGTGTCCTCGGATGTATACCACGACCGGCATGTAGCCCATACAGTCCCAGCTGCCCTCCTCTGAAGCATCTCGTTATAAGCAGCAGTCGCTGACTGCGCAACCTCGATGCTTGACGCGCGGTTTGCGAGGATGGGACGGATGAGGTCGCTGATATATCGCGCCTGAGAGTTGTTTTTTCGCGCGTTACCGGCAGTGTTTTATAAAGCCGCTGGAGTCCACGTACCTGGATCTCGGATGTGAACCATACAGAAAGATGGCCGGAGATCGTGTTCGGCCCTTCCATGGCCGCATCAGCGCACGTGATTTTGAGGTTCAATTCTTCCGCTCACCCGAGATCAAGAACAAATTCGGAAAGCCGGGGAGGCAGGTGCCCATGTATGCCATTAGGCCACCGCTTTCCTTATAATACTCCTCAACTGTTTTCCGTTGCTTCCCTGTAATGGGGATCGAAAAGCCGTCCTGGCGCGACAGTTCAACATATCACGTGGGTGGTTGGAATCCGTGGATCCACTTGCCGAGACGTAGCCTGTGCAATAAACTATTGCGTCGAAACCCTGCTCGCCTGGATCTTGATCAACTCTGCGGAATTGAAGAGGGAACAGATATCTCACCGCACTTGGAAACGATTCCGGTCTCCGTGATTTGCTCGACGGCTTCCGGGATCACGGTGACGTTGTCACGAGCGAGCGCGGCCAGGTATCCGGAATCGAATACGATACGCTTGCAGCCAAGTCCTACGCAGAGAGAATCATCATTGTAATCAACGCTATGGGTTGGACCGACTCACTGAGGTATGGGTCGCTGGTTTCAGATGGAATCAACGCATCGTGATACCGCCCTGGCGTTTCTTCCCGCATGTACTTCCGTGCGACCTGTGAGAGTTTGAATGGGGCTACGACATCTAAGGGAAGCTTTTTGACGTTCTGGGACACGCGGTTCAGGGTGTGAAACTTGAACAGCGCGAGGTAGCGCATCTCGCTCTGCGACCAGTGGTATCAGCGATCCGTCAAGCTTCGAGAGATGCTTACTGTGAGGAAATTGTACCACCGAGAGATCCTCATGAGAAGTGGGATCGCGGAAAATAGCCAACGAGCCCAAGCCGAGTATGGCGTGGACATCTTGAGAGATCACAGTAAGTGGAGCTTCGAGAAACAGATCATCCTGACGCACAGAGGGCACAAACCAGTTCTTCGAGCGTGCGTACTGCATGACATGCGTTTCTGGATGCCGCGACAGCGCAGGAACAATCTGAGATCTGTGCCCAACGGCCGGCCACTCAGTCGCAACCAACCTGATTCGCGGAGGAAGACTCACGCGGAGGGCCCACTGCCTATCACCGCCACCCGCTTGCCGCGCAAGTCGAAGCTGTGATCCCACCGTGCGGAGTGGAAACTGGGCCCTTTGAAGAGGTCGTCTTCCACCCCAGGACAGTTGGGCGTGCGCGGAGTGTCGAAGAACCCCATCGCGCAAATCAAGACCCGCGTCTTCAGTACCCCTCCTCGCGATAGGTTCACAAGATACCGTCTCTCATCCGGCAGCCACTCGGCCCCGTCGACCCGCGTGTCGAATAGGATCCGGGGTCTCAGCTGGTATCTGCCGGCGAGGGACACGAGGTAGGCCTGGATCTCCGGCTGCGAGGCGCGCGTGTGCGTCCACGATGGGTTTAGATCGGATGCGAGCGAGTAGAGATGCGCGTTGACGTCCGCGGCGGAGCCATGCAGCGGGGATAAGCCGGGGCGCCGCGGCTGCTTGGGCGTTGACTCACTGGGTACGTATGCGACTGCGCGTGCGTACGGCAGTCAGTATCGTGTCGGTTGCGGCTAGATCCAACACGCACCCGCCAGGTCCCGCCGACATCACCTCCCTTTTCAACGATCTGTGGAGCAGTTCTGAGAAACAGAAGAAGAGACAGGCAGGGGACTCCGCACGAGGAAGTTGGTCATTCCGCGTTTCTTTAGTTGGATGGCCATGGCCAGACCCGAGAAGCTGCCGCCATCTTGTGAAATGTGTGAACGACGAAGCTGTGGACTCACCCAGCACCGATGATCAGCACATCCGGGTCGTTGGGCGCACTCGCAGACATCTGGGGCGAGCTGCACGTCGTGGTAGCGCGAGATAAAAAGGGAGCAGAGCAGAGCAAAAGGCAAAACTCAGACCGGTTTGGATTAGAACGTCATCTCCCAACCCGACCGAATAGTGAGCGAATCGGCGATGTTATGTACACACTTGACTTGCATGTGCAACCAGAGGGGACGGCGCATGCGTCCAGGGGATATCTTGCTACCATAACTGCAGATAATCGAATCGTTGCTGTCAGCAACATTCATAAGCCCCGCAGAGCCCACGTGCCAAGTGCGGCGTTGAACGGTGTCCGCCTAGCTTCTGGTGCATATGGTCCTTGGTAAACATTGCCGATTTTGGCTCTTGGCAGACACTGACGCTATCATTCTGACGCCAGGAATTGATGAGATAGAAGTAGAAGGCCAGAATGGACTCTGGAGAGTCATGCGGATGCAAGGAGCACTTAGGAAAGGGCACCATCGGCGTTGGAGAGACGTTGGCTTGTAGTACAGTGCAACTGGTCACCTTTGTTAGCTGAGTTGGCTATGACAAGCTTCCAAATTTGGAAAGCTTTCTACGTTTTCCCAGAATGACTTGAGGCATTGTTTTATGCATTTCTAGGCTCATTTAGATGTCCTCTATCCATCTTGTGAAGCACGAAGCTCTGCATCAAAGTTGACCGTTTTGAGGCCCGGAAAAGTGATACAAGACCTAAGCTAGGGTTACCAATTAGGAAACTTCTATTTTGGGAAGCCCCTATTGAGTCCTCAGGTATGGAGGCCGGGAATTATATGCTGATAAGCGGAGAGCATATCACTGATACGCGAAAGTTTGCCGACATGGCATCAATGTCATGATGCGCTCTATGTCATGATGCGCTCTGTCTGGACCCCGAACGCTGAAGTGTATTACTAGCATTGACACGCCTACGGAGCGTATGAGCGCGCAGCTGTACGGGGAGAGACAGGGGGCTAGTCGGAGGTCGTGGGGAGGGAGCTGCGGCTCGAGCTCGCGCAGTATATTTGTGGGATTCTGATCCTAACAAGGTCAGGCTCGGGGAAATGGGCTTAACTGAAATGGGCGGGGGCAGCAGTGAGCAACAGGGGGAGTAAAGGGACGATAGAACAGGCGATGGGACGATAATGACAACGGAGGACAGGACGAGAGGACGATAGAACGACGGGGAGATCAATATGTATGTCTGTAGCACGAAATGGGGGTTTGGGGGCGATGTTGGGAAAATAATGCAGAAGCAGGCGCCGAGAAAGCGAGATAGAAAGTACTGGGAAGTCACTTTAGACTCTAGAGAGTGGGTGAAGAAGATTTCTTGTTTTTCTTGTACTGTACTACAGGTCTTTTATACTAAGTGTGAATCAAATCCAAAAGAGATAAGTAACTTGAACCTCCTGTTGATATGGTGACCATTGAGCTCTATGTTAATTTATTTCTTTAGTCAGTGCTGAATTTTGCCGAAATGAATGAGTCCTGTGAGCACAACAAGGAGACGAACTCCGAAATAGGACCCCGCCGGAGGCATCCAGTGATGATCAGAATGATCACGTGCAACAACCTTGATGAGCTCGCTGACAAATCCATTGAGATCTTTCAGTGCACGTGATAGATTGATCAAATGATCACGTGCAACAACCTTGACGAGTTCGCTGACAAATCCATTGGATCTTTTCATGCACGTGATCGATTGATTTCAGGGCTAGGGCGCATCACTGCTCGTCAGCATGTATGTACTACCAATGATCATTGAAATCCTGAGAGTCTTCTTTGTCCGAGAACCATGCGTACAATGCATGAGCGTCATCCGGTAACTGGGAGTTGGGCATGGGATACACTTCGGGCTCGATATCGTTGATCATTGCGTTCAGACGTGCGTGATGTTCAGGACCTCCGAAAGGAGACGAGTCAGTGAATAGTAAGGTTCCCAAGTAATGGAACATACCGAGACCATCCCCATTGTTGACTCCACCCATATAATAAGCACCCTCTCCGACAACCCCCTCAACACCCCGCAGTTCCTGCAAGTTTGGGAGAAGGGGAATGTTTTCATCGACCGGCTGGGTCAGCACATGCCCCCACCTTGCATCGGCACTCTGATCGATATCGTTGAGCTGATCCAACTCATTGAGGCGATTCAGGAGCTGGAGATATACATCCCAACATGAGTCCCGGTCCACAATAGGGCTATTAAGCTTTGCATAGATATCCAAGATCGCGATCTCGAAGTCAGGCGGAACAAGGAGAAAGACGTCATGATCAGGTGGTGCGTACATCTGTCGGACTTTTTCAATACCGATAGGATCGACCTTGATCTGTAAGGGACTAGTAGTTAGGGGCTTGTACTTGATGAAATCGGACTCGTACCTTGAAATCGAGGATGGCGTAATCCTCTGGGAACTCAAACATGCTAGTTGGAACACCGTGAGGAAGGATCTTGTTACGATCACAGCGCTTTGCGGTATTGTTCACGCGATGCCGATACAGCTCAAGCTCGCCCTGAAGCCACGGGATGAATACCCAACGGAAGACTAAGCTTCCAGCCTTCGGAGAAGCCTCTGGGGATCGGTTCGTTCAAATCTGCTCATTCTGCGTTTCTGACGCTGTCCACTTTGCCGACCACACCCCTCGGAGCGCTTCCAAATCAAGCCGTTGCCGCGAAACGCATGTTCAAGAACAACGAGAATAGCGTCTTGATCTGCTTCAACCCCATTGATGAATATGCGCACCATGTATCGGAGGCAAATCTCCTATTCTGGGGCACTACCCTTCTCAGTTTCGTTTATTCTTTCGTGCGTAACTACATATCAAAGCATGTCGCGCCACCAGGCGACCTCCCTATCTTTGAAGTCCGCTTCGTCGAGGCCGGCGTTGCTCTGGTTCACAATGCGGCGGCAGATGGCAAGTCGAGCAAAATGATGACATCACTCCGACGATCATATCTCATTGAAGAATTAATTGGAACGGGTTTGTTCTCTGCAACGACTCGAGTATATTGCTCACTGAATTTCAGGCAAGTTTGTGAAGTACATCAATAACAATAGTGCAGTGCCCGTTCCGTCGCTTCCAGAAGATCTCAAGCTGTTGGCATCGTTCCTCTGTTTTACACAACATGTCCAATACGAACACACCGGGCGTTTGGTCTTTCTTTCTGATCTTCAAGGCCGGTTCATTCGATCTGGCTCACTGTTTCATACTAACTCTATCCAAGGCTCCGGAAATCTCTTGACGGATCCGCAGGTTATGACTTCACCGTGCGCAGTCCACTGCTGTGTCAATCTGCGTGCTCTTGATATCTGACTGGATCATCAGGACTCTCGAACGTGGTCTGTTTGGTGGTGGCAATTCAGGCAGGTTCTTCGAGAAGTTTCCTGAGCAGCATGTATGCTCCGGTTACTGCAAGTTTTTTGGACTGTCTAGTCTCATGTAAGTAGTTACGCTCTATTGCTACTCTACAGTGCATGTACTTGGCCTTTTTCATACATGTTAACGAGCGTTCGGGGTCCAGACAGAGCGCATCATGACATAGAGCGCATCATGACATTGATGCCATGTCGGCAAACTTTCGCGTATCAGTGATATGTCCTCCGCTTATCAGCATATAATTCCCGGCCTCCATACTCAGGCTACTCGGTTGACAAGCTGACACATCAGAAGCAGTTTTCTGTAGGCATCTCCTACGTCCTTTTTCAATTGCCAGACATTTCCAGGCATTCTGGGGCCCAAAATGTCAACTTTTATTTTTCCGAGGCCGAAAAAAAGTGAAACACCATGGGAAAAATTGAGTTCTTGTGATAAAACACATTCTTTTGGTGGGTTGCTTACCGTAGAAAAAGGGAAATAAATTACAAAATTTTCCTGATACCAATCCATGCGTCAAGAGAGGTGACCATTTGCACTGTAGATCTGCGTGGTAGAATGATTGAGAGGTTTACGGCATATTTGCGTATTCGGAGAACACCAAGTTTCGGACACGTGACCCTGGCAAAACAAGCAACTTGAGTTGACTCAGTTGAGTACAAAAGATTCTGCGTATGGGATGATCTTTTGCACACCAAGTGGATTGTTTCGCACCGCCTAACTGTCGGGAATCTCTTTGATAGAGTCTGCAGCAAGGTAGAGGAGGACGTGACACACGCCTGAGAAGAGGGCATGAGTCATTTTATCCAAATTGGTAGCGTTCATGGTCTAGACTCTGCCGTCAGTGGCCGCGCTCAGAAGCAGCAGGAGATCACGTGTGACGCCAAGCTCTTTCGATCCGAACGCATCCGACGCCGACCTTGCCCAGCCACAGCGCTGCTGCCAATCTGTCGCACCCATGTCTGTTCCAGATCCCCGATCGCCCAGTCTCTCCTGGTCTTGGGCTCCTGAATCCGCAGTGAATCACGGTCTCGGGATCGCATCCAAGACAGTGCTTATCTAGGATGTGTTGTCTGACCCCCGTCGAATAGGATCCATGCGACCCAGCGGCCCAGCCGCGCTCCTCTCTGCCAGATGCCTCCGATTCTGAATGCCCCGGGCCTCGAGAACAGGGGTCTTGACAAGTTGACAAGTCGACGGACATCAGGAGCAGGAGAGGATCGCGCTGGGACTGTACGCTGGGGTGTGGGGTTGTGTGGGGTGCCGGCTCGTGCATTTAAGCAGGTGCGTTGTGATGAGGTAAATGCTCTCGGAACGCCCCACACCCCAATCGCCCCTCGCGCGCCAGTATCCTCACGAACTTACGACTAGAAGATAACTTCCCCCTCCCGCTCCAACGCACTCGCTCCCCTCGCTCTCTTTGCCCGAGAAAATCACGCGCCATGCATGTCCGCACCAAGTCCCTGCTCGCCGCGGCCTCCCTCACGGTGCTCTGCGTACACTCTGCGCCGCTTCCGGGTCCGGGACAGATCCTCCGCCCCACGGCTCCCGACGGCCAGGTTCCCATTGTCTCGGTCCCATGGGTTCCGCGTTTAGCGAACAAGGTTTGCTTGATGCGCTCACTGTCGTATTCGATGTTCACGTGCGAATTGGGTTACAGGGTTCCCGTGTCCCTTTCCCGGCGCTGAAGCTGGAGCCGTGGGGTTGCTGAGCGGTCAGGGACGGGTTGTTAGGTAAGTTCGATGTGTATCGAGTACTCGACTTAACTGAACATCTACCTAGTGTCATCTGCATCTCGCTTGACGCCGGAGATAGCACTCTGTAATACTGGCTATTATATTCGCTTCTTTCTATGCACTTCCCCTGCAAATCTCGTTCATTTCGAGACGCATGTCGCGATCTTGCAGAACATTCTTTTCGGTCCGGATCGGTCTGCTAATACGCGGATAGTCCTGAAATCCCACCGTAAACCATGTGATTCTCTGACCCCAAGATGCCCCGCCTTAACCCTGGCGACTCGTAGACAATATCCAAACAATAAACGAGTTCTGGCGTAGTTTGGTCTGAGTTGAATAGCGTAGTGTATTGTATCGCTTAGCGATAGAATCCAAGGCAAGGTTTCAACCCCCGTCGATCTGAATCGATTACACGAAGAATTTATGCCTTGCCGTGAGTACTCTCTCACAGGTTATGTACTAAAAGGGAAGTTCTGCTTCGAAGAATCCACGACACGATATGTGGATTGCTTAAAGACACTGGTTCAATATGTTGATGTTGCAATCTACAAATTCAGCGAGCCATGTTCCACGGCGGCAAAATTCCTGCCGGGTGCTTCGTACGATACGTAATTGACTACTTCACCGGGGTAAGTATTTTGCTTGCGAGCTGCCACTCTCTGCGAAGGATTTTCCAGAAGACAGATGACCTACTCACATGACTTCGCTGCTCTGTGAATACATAAACATGTGTCAGTACCGGCTCCCTCTCTGTTAAATCGTACCGAACCGACCCCACAAACGCAAATGGGAGACGCTCCGAGTGAATCCTCCGCCGCCGCCGCACCACCCAGTGTCCCGCAACACGCCCGGGCCGCACTGATCGCGTCCTTCGGCCCGGAGCTCACATTGACCGACAGCCACCCCGTCGTGCAGCCCAGCGCGCTCAAGCCCGGACAGTGCCTCATCAAGATCGATTACGCCGGTCAGCACCCTCGTCGAAGTATCAGCTCACCATCTGACAGCTCCATTGGCAGGTGTGTGTCATTCGGACGTGCACATCATCGAAGGCGGATGGGGGCCGGTCGACTTCCCGCGCGTCGCCGGGCATGAGGGGATGGGACGCGTCGTGGCCATCGGCGCGAACACCGTCGGGAGTCCGGTCGCTGTGGGCGACCGGGTTGGGATCAAGTGGTTGGCGACGACGTGTTTGAAGTGAGTGGTGCCCTTCTGTCGCGATTGACTTTCGTTGTATGAATCCGAGCCGCCCACTCTCCGTAGCTGCGAAATGTGCCGGACGGGAAATGAGCCCTGTAGGTGTTCGATTGCTGCGAGACTCAGCCTCGAATGATGCTCGGAATCAGGCTGTGCGATAGCTAAGACGATGGGGCACGGGTATCAAGTCGATGGGTGCTATGCGGATTATCAGGTCATTTATCGGTTTCTTCACGACTCTGTCATCCAGCTCATTCTTCCGAACAGGTCTCGTATGTGGACTACGTCACTCCGATCCCCGCCGAGCTCGACAGCGCTGCAGCAACACCGCTGCTGTGTGCAGTGAGTGGGTTGACTTGCCGTTTCAAGCGATAGGATGGAGACCTGGCAGGGAGTGACGATCTACAAGGCACTCAAGGAAAGTAACCCAAAGGTAGGAAACTGGGTGGCCATCCCAGGCGCCGGAGGTGGACTCGGGCATTTGGGTGAGCCTAGGACCCATCCAGGAATGTTGAACCGATTCAAAACGTTTTCAGGAATCCAATACGCCGTCGCAATGGGTCTCCGGGTCATCGCCATTGGTGCGGCTCACTTTGTCCATTCCATCCACCACTTGCTTAGTTTACGCACCCAGACACTGGAGAGGCGAAACGCGATCTCTGCCTCGCCCTCGGTGCCGAGAAGTGGATCGACTTCAAGGAGAGCAAGGATCTCGTCCAGGACATCCAAGCCGCGGCGGATGGACTCGGCCCGCACAGCGCCGTGATCGCCGCATCCAATGTGCGTCCTGCCGCTTGAAAATGACTCCGGTTTTGGATGCTGAGCACGCCCGGGCAGCCCGGCCCGTTGGACCAAGCCGTGCACTACATCCGGCCCAAGGGGACGATTGTGGCCGTCGGACTACCATCAGGGCCGGTCAAGATGACGGTCGGGGTGTACACTCTCATCGCAAAGGTCTGCTGAATGCTTCCTATCTCGATATCACTCATGCGTCCCAGTGCATCACGATTGTTGGGTCTGCGGTCGGGTGAGATTTTCCTGCTTTTCTCGATTCGGACTCGAGCGGATACTAAGTCTCGTGGTAGGAGCCGCCAGGATGCGATCGAGGCCCTGGCCCTCGCTGCGCGTGGCAAAGTCAAGTGCCAACTCGTCGTGCGTCCGTTCGAGCAGGTCAACTCGTGCGTTTTGAGTATCGTCCGATCGAGCCTTGAACACTCACGTCTTTCATCGCTCAGCTGTCTCTCAGAACTCTCCGCGCAAACGGTCGCGGGGAGGATTGTATTGAAGATGTAGAGGATGAAATGTTCAAGATGTGTATTGCTAGGAGACAAGCTATAGCGAATAGTATCTTCAGAAGGCTGGAAAAGTCGAAGACGGTTCTGTGAAGTAAGTGCGGTCATCACTTGCAACCTATCTGGTAGGATACTGCACGCACCTCGTCCTGAATTGTCTACTGCAAGTACCGGATATAATAACAGACAAAATGTTCCGCATTGTCGAAGTCACAGGCTCTGGTGATTCTATGGCTCACGTCCCACGGGATCGTGGCAGGTATCACATCGTCCACGATGAGGAGCAGTACGATCTTCGCCGCCCCCGCGTACTCGACTTTGAGTTCCGTTGTCTTGCCGGTCTTGGGATTCCCACCAAGCTTGATTATATCCTCTTCCGCGCGTTGGTTCGCCCGCGCAGCCGTCTCAGTGTTCAGACTGCACTTGATCTCCACAATGTGCGACACAGCGCCTGTGGCGGAAGCGTCCGAGAACGAGTTCCGACACAAGAGTTCTGGGTAGTCAATCCACGAATGACAGGGATAAGCTTTTAGAATTGACTAGTGTACCGATCGTACACTCCTAGGTACTTATACTACGATCAAACTATCTACGTAAATACGAACAATCATTGATGGGGAGTCATTGCGGTCAGGTAAGCAAGAGGAGGGATACAACCGTCACATACGCCCTCCAGCTCGGCGCTCGCGGCGAGCTCAAGCCATTTCCTCATCACCCCCCGCTGCTCCCACCGCAGCGGCCGCACCCCCCGCGGCCAACCGATTCGCTCTCGCCTCCTCGATACGCTGGCGACGCTTGGCAATCATCGCTCCGCCGTTGACTCCGGTCGCGTAATCCTCCGTGGATGCGGGTATGTCCCTCTCAGCGAGACGTCGCTCTCTCGCCTTCCGGATGGCGCGATCTCGTCCAATAATGGCCTCACGGCCTTCCTCATACTCGGCAACGGTGATGGTGATCATACCCGGGGCGTCACGGCCAGCCATAATGTCGTCCGAGCACAGGCCATCGTGAACCGTGGGAACGTACTGTTCGGCAAACACAATCCCCCCGCTCTCATCCACCGACGCGAACGACCAACTTTTGTTGTCGTACCGGTTGCACGCCGCTCCGAGCTCCGCGATACCAATCGGTCCTCGGCCGTACACCGTGCCGTCGAAATCCGGGTTGTTGACCGCTTCGTTCCACAGTAAGCACTGCCGGAACTGATGTGCCGTCAGGAGAGCGTCGCCGTCGTTAAGATGCACGAGAAGGACGCCGGGCGCTACCCATTTCAGGGTACCCTTGTGCTTGGCGTTAAACTCGAGGTGCTGCGGGGTGAGGGGTTCTCCCATATTCGTTTTGTCGCTGACCACGTTGCCCGCGTACGCATTGGGTTTCTGGGGATTCGTCATTTCGCGGAAAGGCAGGGCAGGCAGAAGGGGCGGGCAGGATTCCTGAGCACCGTTCGTCCTGTCCTCCCTATTTGTCTCCCTTCTCACTTCTCCTATCCAGTGGAACCGCATGCTCCCGGACTGCAGGTCGATCGCTGGGGCCTCGCTCGCCCCCTTTTTCAACTGAGACACGTCGCTAATCCCCAGGATTTCAAAGTAATCCTGCAAGACGTTCAGTCTACTCACTTGTTGATAGGGCATCCACGTTAGGTCGCCGGACTTCCATTTGACCTCGAAGAGGGCTCGGCGTCGGCTCCCCGCATGTCCAACCACCTTCTCCACGGCCCACTCGGAGTCTGTGGCCGCGTCCGCAACATTCAGTTGATTCTCCATGCGGCCAGGGAACCGCCGATCGTCGTTTGGTACGTGGATCCGCATCAGGGACGCATGGAAGACATTGTGTAACCCTCTTTGAACCAGGTTAGGGGGCAGGTCAACCCGGAATGAAGAATTCCCGAAATCCTGCGTTATGCGATACGGGCCTATGAATTTGGGGAGTAACTTGCGTGCCAGCCCCTTTTCAAAATGTATATTCTTCGTACTAAGATATACCAGGTCGTCCTTCACGAACGGCGCCGGAATCCTTTTGCGATTTGCCGTTCGGATGTGTTTCACCCGGGACGCCAATATGGCATCGTGTGCTGCCATGATTGCCAGGCGCCGCTGGAGTAAGAATGTGGCTACCCCGGGAAACTCCTTTGATCGATAGGAGTCCCATAGTAACGATCTCGGCATCATTCCGTTATTCAGAAAGAACGGAGAATACCCGGTGGTCTCTGACCGGGCCATGTTCATGGCGAACTCGACGGCCGGTAACCGAGTCACCCAGTCCGTCTGTTTGTTACTCACGCACTGTCTCAGTAACTGGGTAACCGTCCTGTTAGCACGCTCAGTCGCTCCGTCGGTCTCTGGGTGATACGCGCTCGACATCTTCAACTCTGTGCCCACGAGATCGTGCAAGCGCTGCCAGAACGTGCTGGTGAACAGCACGTCCCGGTCGCTTACAATTGCATTTGGTAAGCCGTGGTGTTTATACACGTGCTCGAACATCAGCTCAGCGAATTGTCGAGCAGTGTAATTCACTCGGCAGGGTATCAGGTGAACCATTCCAGTCAGAAGGCACACGACCACAGCGATGGAATTAAAGACACTGTCTCTGTTCTTGGAGTCAGGTAAAGGCCCCACAAAGTCGACTCCAATGGCTTCCCATGGTCGGTGGGGAGTGGAAAGAGGGTTGAGCAAGCCATAAGGTGCGTGATTGCTTGGCTTGCTTCGCTTACACACTGAGCATGAGTCACAGTAGGCCTTCACGTCGTGTACCAAGTCTTTCCACCATACGTGCTCTCGAATATAATCTACCGTTTTCCGAGCCCCGAGGTGTGCCAGGACAGAATGCGCCTCTGATATGACAACCTCCCTGATGGAGCGCCCGTTGTATTCCAGCTTAGGGATGCACAGTACCATGTGGTCCTTGTCTTTCATGTAAACCAGCCCGTCCTTTATCTCAAAGTTCTTATGTTCTTTTGGCCGGTCCACTATATTTTTAAAGAATTTATCTTCCTCAAAACGGTTCTGGATGAATCCTGCCAGGTCCAGCCCGTCCTTTCCTTGACGTATGACCGGTATCAACGACGGATCTGTCTCATCGATCCGCGAACTCATTGCGTTTTCAAGGTCCGAGGACCGATCAGCGGAATCAAATTCATTGGCAGGTGGCTGTGACCCGCCCTCCTGCTGGTCGGTCGTTTTCTCACTGTCTTCTGGTCTCTCTCTATCTGTCCCGCCCTCCTTCTCGTCCTCTGGGGCGAGAACCTTCAATCTTTGCTTGTCTATGGATCTTGGAGCCGGTGCTGGTATCCTACCCGCGTTTGGGCTTTTCGCCTTGTCCAGCAGCGCCCTTGCCGCTAACGCGTCTGCGCGCGTCTTCGACCTCAGGACCCGGTCGGACGAGACCGCCATTGCCTCGAGACCCGACAACACAGGCATGGACACATTGTGCACGCCCAGCACGTCGTTATCTATCACGTCGTGGTATGTGTATTCTGATCTTGCGCGCACTGTCCCCGGTGTCTCATTTGAGTACATTCGAGATAGGGCGTCCGCCAGCACATTCTCTGGCCCCGGCACGTACATAATCTCGAAGTCAAAGCTCGAGATTTTCTCCACCCATCGCGCTTGGCGGCCCGACAGGTTAGGCTGGCTCAACAGGTGCGTGAGTCCTTTATGATCGGTAACCCATTGAAATCGGCAGCCTTGCAGGATATCCCGGTGCCTAAGCATTGACTCGACCCCCGCCAGCATTTCAATCTCGTGCACTGGATAGTTCTGCTGGGCCGAGTTCAGCTTCGCTGAGTAGAATGCCGCCACCTTTCCGCTCTTCCAGTCTGGGCCCTGGCACACCACGCCCGAGACGCCAGTGGCGCAGCCATCTGTTACCAGAAAGATAGGCTCCGCGTCCGGGCCATAGTCTAAGGGCACTCTGTGGTGGTTCCTAAGGTCAGACACAATCCGTTTTATATCTTCGAACGCGCGCTGATGCGTAAATCCCCAGCGAAACGGGACTGTGTCCCCAGTCAAGCCGTGCAATACTCCCATAGGTACGCGCACTCGGGCCAGATCATCCGCCAGGTAGCCCACCGATCCCAGGAAGCCACGGAGGAGGTCCCGATTCGTGGGCGTCTTCCAGTTCAGTACAGTATCTACCTTCTCGGAATCCATCCGGATCCCTTGGTCCGTGATCACCCGTCCCAAGACTTTCAATTCGGGTTGTAGAAACTGGAGCTTATTCTCTCCAAGGTACAGTTTCTCCCTTTTCAGAACGTCAATTACTAACTTAACGTGCTTTACGTGGTCTTCTAGCGTCGTTGAATAGATTATGATATCGTCAAGATATACGTCCATGAATCGGCCAATATAGTCTGAGAACAGGTAGTTCATGAGAGACTGATAGGTCGCTGGTGCGTTACAGTCCCCTTGTTGCAGTACCAGGCTCACCATATTTCCGTTGGGTGTTGTCATCGTTGTTCTATTCACATGCTCGGGGATCACTCGTATTTGCTCGTATGCGTCCTGGCCATCAATTAGGGATCGAAAACGGCATCGAGCTACGCGGCGTAGTATTCCGTCCATGTCTGGAAGTGGCGACGCCATCTTTCGCGTGTTCGCATTGCGCTCCCGAAGATCCACTACCACCCGAAGTCGCGGGGGGCTAGATTTTGCCTTGGGGATCAGTAACATAGGTACTGTGTTCCCGGCGTTTGTTATCTTCCAGCGCCCCGTTTTCAGGTATACTCGTCGCTTCTCATCCCACTGGGGTCTGAGCGCATCTGGGCACCGAGACATTCGCCATGGCATGACTTTGCCCGGGTCGATCAACGGAATGCTGTGATTTATTGCCCTGAGCGGCGGCAGCTCTGTTTCCGCCGCCACTCGACACACTTCCTGGGCATACTCTTTCAGTTTTCCTCGTGCTTGCTCCAGATCTCCGGTCTGCACGTCCGTCGCACCGGTGTGTAGTCGTGCCGTTGCCACTCCTTCTAACGGCTCAGGGTCGGCGCTTCCCACACACACACGTGAGGGATTGAAACCGATGCTCACGCGATGCTGGAACAACCACGCGGTCCCCAGTATCAGATCGTAGCCGCTGATATTCGCTACGAAAAAGGTACGAGGCCCGTTTATGTCTTGGTATCTCACTCCTACCCGCGTAGTGTGGTTTATCTTTGACCTGGATCCTTGGACCGCCAGCTGGAGGGTGAGAGGCTCAGCCAGGTTCCGCAACGGCAATCTCAGCTGATCCACCACCGTGGTCGATACCAGGTCGCCCAACGATCCCGAGTCTACCAGGGCCCGAAGCGGGTGCCCGTTCACGTGTACCACAATCACCAATGGCTTTGCAACAACGGTATCCTTTGACTTCGGGAACGAGGCCGATCGTGCGATCCCGGGCATCTTGTCCGCTGGCACCTGCGCGCCGTGACAAGCCAGGGCGCAGGGTACGCCTTCCGTTGTTACCATGGTTTCTCGCGAAAACCACCAGCTGTCCGGCGGCACCATGGGGTATGTCACCGCTTTGCAGTTCGCTCGATCTGACTTTTGGCGCTTTCTAGTCAGCAGGTTGACCAAATCCAGTCTCGGGTTCAAGAGCTGTTTACGTGGCACTTCTACTCGCGTCAGGCCCCCGCTGTCCTGGATCTCGAAGACGTACAAGACGGGTACGTTTGGGCCTTCGATCTTGCCTTCCGAGAACCGTGGCTCAATGTTAACGCAGTTTCCACATGCTTCCGGGTACCGAGACACCATCTCGTCCAAGTAGAAGCTTAGTTGTATCCCCAGCGGGTCGTCAACCGCGATTCGATGTTCCCCGGACAGTTCTTCTGCCGGTATGGACAGTTGCTCGCTTACCCGGCCGGAATACCAGGCGCCTAACTCGAAGCGCCGATTCTCCAGCATGGATCTCGGCAGGTAAGTCGACAGATTGTTCTTGCGGTCCCTCACGTAGTAACCTTCTTCGCACCAGGACGAAATCACGCTGAACCTTTCCCCGGAGTCACGCGGCATGTGATTGTTTACGCTGTCGTCGCCAGGGTATGGCTGACAGAACTCCAGTAGACATTGTACGCCATCAGACATGAGGTCTCCAATCCTCCTTTCATGAGGACTCCTCCGCCGGGGCTCATCGAAACACATGTCCCACTGACCACTGCCCACTTGGGCCGCTTCTTCAGGCAACTCATCACCCGCCACATCCGTTGAGGTGATTGGGCTCGGCCAGAGATCTGGCTGAAGTCCGCAGTCGGAAGTCGCTCTCACCCAAGCCTGCCAGGATGTCTTGGTTGGTTCGTCTGTTTCTCCCTCGGGCTCGCCGTCGGATTCACTGGAGCTTTCCAGGAGGGGAAGGTCGTCGTACAACCCCGTGTCGCCATCCATGTGATCGTTGTACCACCGGTGCAGGTCAAAGTTCTGGTCCATCAGGGTAGCTCGCTCCATTTGTACACGTACATTGCTACCCGTACGGCTAATCTCAAACACGTTGGGCGACACTTCTTGTCCTTCGATCAGTGAGCTTCCCTTGTGCTCCGATTCGTACTGTTGTAGAATAATGAGGGTCATTGCAAAAATGGAGTCGCCCAACGCACGGAAGTATCGTTCTGGGAGCACTAAGTCTGGCGCGTCGGGGTGAATACCCTGCGCTAGATAGCATTTTTGTGCCCAATGCCAGCCCAGCTCAAAATTAGGATCGTGTCAGTCGCACGACTTTACCAGCTCATCGCCCTCCAGTATATTCAGGGGCGTTCCGCAGTCCAGGATGCAGTAGTAGTCCTCCTCCAGGACGCGGTACACGAGAAACCGTCCTTCCGTGGGTTCGGAGCCGTCGTCGCCCGGGAAGGGCGCGCACTGCTGAAGGACCAGGCTGGCGAACCGGGCCGCAAGATCCCCGATGCCCACATCTCCCGGGCCCGGATTGGTAACCAAATCAGCGGGCCGGTCGATTAAGCCACATTCAGGTCGGCGTAGCCTGCTGTCATCCTCGGGATGAGGGTCCAGCGTCATGGATCTGATCCCGTGCACCAGCTCTTCCACCTCCGAACTGTCGTCTATTCCACGCACGACGTATTCCAGCTCGTCAACCTCCGCTTCTTCAGGGTCGTCCCAGTCTTCCGTGCCCTCTTCAGACCACTCGAGATCTGACCATTGCTCTAGCACAGCACCGTCTTCCCGAAATCCTATTGGGAAGGCGCTCAAGACCTCCAACGTGTCCAGCACTTCAGTGGTTTCTCCCAGAGAAGCCAAGCGCAGGCTTACTCCGTGCGCCCCGAATCCTGGGGGCTTCCCCTTCACCTTGGACTTCATCGTAGTGAGCTTCAGGCAGCTGCGCGCCATATGACCGGCTTCTTCACAATTTAGACAGACCCCCCGCGACATCAGCTCAGCCTTCTTCTGAGGTGAAAGTCGACGCTCCCATGGTCGCTCTCCCTGTTTCTCTGGGACTTTCGAAGGAGCTGACGTTGATCCAGGAACGGGAGTGTAGCGGGAAGCAAGCTTAGGCCCACTCTCACGAGGCGGGACTACTACGGCTGCTGCGGTCTTGATAACCCCGCCTTGTCTGCGCGGGAAGAACTTCTTCTTCCTTGCTTCCCGACCGGTGCCTGGGGTCACTGCGCTGGGGCTGGCTACGTTGTTCGTTGTACCCTTACCCTTTCGCCGCTTGTCTAGGCTCAGAAAGCGCTCAGCCCTTACCGCCTTCTTCACCACACGGGACCACTTTGATTTCTCGGGGTCAAGGCCGAACCTGAACAGCTCTTCCTGGATGTCTGCATCCAAGCTATTCCAGAGCAGAGCGACCCGCTCCCGGTCCTTTCTCAATCCGATCTGTAAGAGTATGCTCTCCATTTCCAAGACGTGCTTATTGACTGATTTGCCGTTCTGATGGCAGCGCGCCAGCCGCTTACGCTGCTTCTGGCGGTAATCCAGCGAGAAGCAGTATTTCAGAAGCCGACGCAGCATCTTCTTCAGCGTCCAGTCGGACTCATGGCCGCGAATCCGCCTATTGTAGAAATCCTTGGCGTCGCCGTCCAGGAAGGACCCGATGATCGCAACACGATGAGCTCTGGGCACGTTTCCGAGCTCGCAATACCTATTGGACTCGTCAACGAATTGCGTGTAAAGGTCTGCATTCTCAGATCCGTCGTAGCGCGCGGGGGGGTTAGGTTTTACCAACATCCTACCCTTTGGTCGGTCTTCAGACCTCCTTGTCTTTCGTTTCTTTCTCTTGGCCTTGTTCTTCCCAGTCGAAGACCCGGAGTCTGAGCTCGAGCCGTCTGCACTCGAGCTTGAGTCGCTGGTGTCCGAATCCGATTCACTCGAGGAGTCGCTTGGCGGTCCATCCGAGCCCTCGTCATCTGAACCAGAGCTGCTCGTCGAGGATTCCGAGCCGGAGCTACTGTCATCGGAAGGTTGGAGGCTGACCCCCCTTAGGACACTAGTAACAAAGCCGGCGGTCTCTCTCCCCGAACGTGAGCGTCTTCTCTCGGTGGTCGGTGTTTCCTGCGGGCGCTTCCCCTTATGGCGAGACGTCTGAGGCTCGCTCTCGCGCGTCTTCTGATGGCGAGCTTCGGGGTGCTTTGAGACTCCTCTCCTCCGTTCTCGGGCCTCAAGCTCGGCAATGCGCTCCCGCATTCGGGAGAACTCCCTCAGGAACACGCCTTGATTCACCAGCTCCTCACCCTGTGGTGCCTCGATTATCTCGAGCCTCTCGGCGAGCGGCGACTCGGGCGAGTGCGGTTTTTCGGTTGGCCAAAGTGCCGCCTTATCTGCCGCGCTGGTGTTCCTCGGGTCGGGTTTCCAGCGATTCCGTTCTCGCTGGGCCGACTCAAAGGCCTGGAAGGCTACTTTCTGCCCCTCCAGCTCGGCGTCGGATAAACCAAGTTCTCCCCAGTTGCCTGGGTCGGGTCCTTTGCCCTTTTCCTGCGATGGACCGGCAATCGGCGGAGAAGATCCCCCGTTGTCCTCTGACCACTCGGCTGTTTCCAACGGGTGAATGTAATCACTTCCGTTTTCTAACACATGGTCGGCCTTTTCTCCGGGCTCGACCATCCTTGACGACATTTCGCCGATCGCGTCCGATCTGGCGTCCGACTCAGAAGTCATGTCATTGTCAGACTCCCGTTTGAAGACGGGTGTCTTTTGCTCAGCGGCGTTAGCCAAGCTGGCATAGCGGTCCGAGATCAGGCGCAGCACTTCGGGCGACATAGATTCAGCCGCCTCGTCCACTATGGAGGTGAGCTCCTCCAGACTGTTGTATGTCTCATTGCGCCTCTCGCTGATTCTAACTGAAACACTGGTGGCTACGCTGCTAACGGACTCCCGGTGGGTGCGAGCCGTCCGTCTGGTGGCTAAAGTCCAGGGTCCCTCCTCGTCCTCGACGTCCTCGATCGTGGTGCGCATGCGCTGGCGATCGGTCTCGCCCCTGACCAGTACAGACAGGGGCGGTTGGGGATTCTCCGTGTGTACACGGGCTGGGCTTTCTCCCGGGAAGGGGTTACTCGCTATGTCTCCGCCAACGGTCAAGGACGCGTCGACGGGCTGGGGAGGGTTGGCCGGAGCCGGGGACACTACTCTAGCGTAGGTGCGCTCCTGGGCCGGGGGGCGCTCCACCGAGGTGGGAGGTGGTAGCGCAGCTAGCTCCCCTGTCGTCATTACGTTGCCACGGGAGTTGCGGCGGCGCAGGGAACGAGTGGGGGCGGTTGGTATAGGTTGTTGCATGGTAGCGGTATTGTGTAGTTTATGGGTCTTCGTCAAAGTCGGCTGTCGCGGGAGATCAATCCGAGTGGTAGCCAGAACGATGTGAAGATAGTAGAGCTTTTGCTGTCAAAAATATGTGGCGGAAGCGTCCGAGAACGAGTTCCGACACAAGAGTTCTGGGTAGTCAATCCACGAATGACAGGGATAAGCTTTTAGAATTGACTAGTGTACCGATCGTACACTCCTAGGTACTTATACTACGATCAAACTATCTACGTAAATACGAACAATCATTGATGGGGAGTCATTGCGGTCAGGTAAGCAAGAGGAGGGATACAACCGTCACAGCGCCGGTGGCAGGGATCACGAGCGCGATGTCCGCCCATCCCGACTCGGGATAGACAGGGGCCTCGCGGTCGGCCGTGAATCCGGGAGCGCCAGCGTAGTGGTTGATGAACACGCACAGCTCGGCGTGGAACCATTTCTCCCACCCCCCGCGCAGTTTGTACGCAAGGACGATGCTCTGGAACTCTTGCTCGATAACGCCGGATACAAACGACTCGAATTCAGTTTGGAATGGGTCACGGGTCGGGTTCGTCGCTGAAAGGAGTGCATGTGGGTTTGAACTTGAAGTGAGCGATGTCTTCTTTCTGGGGAAACGTACGGTCGCTTGTGCCTGGAGAGATCCCGGTGCGGATAGGGGTGCCATCCAAGTTCTGGTTCTTGCGTTGCATTGTCTCGGGGTGATGCAGTTGAAAATTGTGATGCTTTCGATTTTTACAGTTGGTCTTCTTTTATAACATCTCGCTCCTCCGCTTCAATTCGCCCTTGTGTAATGTTCTCCGGACTGTGCTAGACGTCCCCCCCGGTGCTTCTACATACAAGCTGTGTGCCACAGATCGTCCGAGACCAAAGCGATTCCGTCCCGTGCAAGATGCTCTTCAGATCCCTATCCAACTTTATGTTTGATTTGAGCTGAGTATTCATGCTGTCAGTTCCAGGTCCTCGATGCCGTAACTTGACATCAGCCGTCCTTGAGCCTGGAGCTGATCAAGTGCTGATCACTCCCAGCTCACATCAGAATGGACTGTCGGATTGGCCGCCACAATACGTTGGCACACTGGAGCATGTAGGATGCTGCTTTGAGTTTCATATCCTCTACATAATGATTTCCGCTGAATTCCTCTGGTGTTATATGACGGAAATAAATTATTCAAACAGCGTGAGAGCTTGACGGTAGTAGGAAAAACACTATTCGTGACACCGAAAGGCAACAGAGTGGAGTGTAAATATCATTTGATCTAGAACCATGCTTAGTAGCTACCGCAAATCAAGTCATCAGGATCTCATTATCGGGCCAGATAGCGAAATTGCAAGTAGACGGTGTAGTCCTTTCCGTCCACTTTGCCCTCCACACTGCGGCGTTGCCAATCTCCGGTCAGGATGGGCAGAGTGTTGACGGTCACACACACAGCCACACGGGAGGTCGCCGCGAGCTTGGCCTGAAGCGAGCCATAGCACTAGGATTTATGATAATGAGACATGGTGCTAGCCATAGGAATTCCATCTTAACGTATGGTGCTAGCCATGGGCCGTGGCTGTGCTGCTCCTGCCGCCATATATGTGATGCAAGGGCGGCCATGTAGGCACGCGAGCTGATGATGATGATGATGATGATGATGGGTGATGCTTGGCCCTCAATGATGAGCGGCGGGATTAATAATGATCTTGACGTAGTTAGCGCATCACTATATCCATTGCCGCCACCACGATCAGTTCATCAGGTAGCGGCGTGTTCACGTGCCCATCGGGATTAGGCATCGGGGCGGGTTGATTTGCGGCTGATGCACGTGCGCAGCGCGATTATGCATTGGGGCGGGTTGATTTGCGGCTGATGCACGTGCGCAGCGCGATTATGCATCGGGGCGGGTTGATTTGCGGCTGATACACGTGCACACCGGGATTACGCATCGCGGCGTACTATTGCGCATCGGGGCAGGCTGCTTTTCCGCTGATGCACGTGCCGGCGGGATTATGCCTCGAGCCATAGCACTGGGATTTAGGATGAGACATGGTGGGATTACACATCGCGGCGCGCTAACCCGCTGATGCACGTGCCCCCTGTGATCACGCATCGCGGCGCACTGATTTCCCGCGTGCGCAGCAGGATTACCCATTGCGCCAGGGAATTGCATGCAAATACATGTACCCACTGAGATTGCGCATCGCGGCGGGTTGATACTATACTATGCTTATACACGTGTCTGCTGTGATTACATACCACGGTGCGCTGAGTTGTTTGTGCTTGCGTAGCAGGTTTACACATTGCAGTGGGTTGATCTCACGCCAATACATGCGCCCAACGGCGGCAGGTTGATCATTGCCACCTATGGAGGCCCACATAGTCTCCAAGCTAGTTCCCTAATTATCCCCAAACTATTTGTTGAATTGAAGGACCAGCAGGCTACCTATGAGCAAGCTAAATACAAGATTGAGTGGCTGTGCTGGAGACGCCCAGAAATGTGTTTCTCGGCGTCTCTAGCACAGCCTTCTGATCACATGACGGATATGTAGACTCACAGCATATGCATAGCGGTGGGATTCACGGGCCGGTTTTGCCTGCAATTACGTTGTTATCATTACATGCTACGAAAAAGTGCTACCAGGAACCACGTTTCTTCCATAGCTCATAGAAACCAGCCAGGCCTTCCAGCATCCACCCAACATCCTCCACTGCCTCCACCCACGCGGTCTTCTGCTCTGCACTTCCTGTCTCTGAAACATGCAGACCCCACATGTAAAGCGCCGCCACGACAGTCTGCACGCCGTTTTGACCCCACGTATAAAGCGGGCCCCACTCTCGGCCATCACCACCATATTCCCCGCGCGACCAGCCTGATCCACTGACGGTATCCTTGACCCGCCATTCTGGCTGCAGGGATGCCCACCATGTATCCCACTGGCTCGTGAACGCGTCGATGTCAAGTACCGTGGGGATCTTTGTCCTCTTGCTCCGAATCCACGCTGTAACAGCTGCAGGCCGAGATTCAGCAGGAAGTCCGGTGTCGCATGAGGCGTATCGGGATGCATCTTCTACGCGCGACCACGCAGCTACAGTAGCGTCAAACTGTGGTCCAAGATCCATTGCTGTAAGTTTCCTATGCGCGTCCTGGAACCAGACAGCAGCCTTTGTGGGGCAAACAGGACGTGTACTGAGGGGCTCTGGTGCTACCTCGCTCGGCGTGGCAGCGTCTCGGTTGGTGGTCAAAGTGCACGGGTCATGATTTGCAGCCTCTAGCTCAGTGGATGTCGTGGGAACAACAGTGATGTCGTCCGAAACGGGGTCGCCACTCCTGTTTGAAAAGCCCGCTGAATGGTTGCTGCTGTCGGCACCTTGCAGTGGCGTGTCTCCAGAGCTGTCTCCATTCCCAACAGCGTGGTCCACATCCATCTCCATGGCTCCTGATCCAGCGCCGGCAGAGGCAGCAGGATCCACATCCATCACAGCCTCATCCTCTTCTTCCTGCGTCTGAGAGCTGCCTTTCCCTCCCCTACTGTTCTGGAGACGCGACGAACGCCTTCGTTTCTCCGGTGCAATTGGTTGCTCCTTCACCAACGCCTTTCTCTTCCCTGACTTCTTTGGCTGCTCCCCATGACCATCCTCTGTCATGGCTCTAGCCACCGCATGCTTCAGGTTGAGTGCCTCCATCATGGCTCCATTTCGGGCTGCAAGCCGGGCACGTTGTTGGTTGTATGTTAATTGATCATCTCGGAGGTGCGCATGCGGATCAGCAAATGTGACGGGGCCAAACGAACACTCGATAGTGATAGTTGTCGGATGAGGAGCGGGCTCGGGACTGGGTGATCGTTCTGATGGAGGCTCGGGGGATGTTGGTGGTGGGGACGCACACGCAAGATTGGGAGATGCTGATCGTGGAGACGCAGGTGCAGAAGGTCGGCCACGATAAGGAGATGCTGGAGGCGACGCTGGATCAGAGACTGGACTTGGATTGGGAGATGTGGAATCGGGAGGTGCATGTCCAGACGTAGCACTCTCAGACTGCGCAGGAGTGGAAGATGATGTCGAGGCACCCAGTGAGGCAGCTTTGGAGGGTGTTCCTTTCTTGGCCTTGGGTTTTGGTCGTGGTGCAGCCGTGGATGGCTTTGACACTGCCTTTGATGAGGCTTTGGACAACGCCGTCACATCCTTGTCCTTCTTCTTGGTCTTACCCCCAGTTGAAGCCTTGCCACCACCCTCCCGCACGTATCGCTCCTTCTTCTTCTTCACCGCATCTGCTAGCGCAGCGTCGTCCGCGTCTGTCTCGGCATCAGAGCCCGAGTCGCTCGAGTTGACGTTCTCGTCGTCGTCTTCCTCATCAGATGATGGGCTCTCATTGGCTTTCGGCTTCTTATCGAGTGTGTACAGCTTTCCTTCCTGGATCAGGGTGTCCATAACGTCTTGTGGGAGTGCGGCAGCATCAATATCCCTGTCTGCTATGGGTCTATTAGCATGGATATCCTACACGCACAATGTAGCACATACTGTATGCTGTTTTCAGGTACTCAATGAAAAAGTTCAAGACATCGCTGGAGAAGCGTCCCTCGTCCCATTCTGCCCAGGATACTGGAGCGGTGGCCTTGTTGTCACCGTAGGAGATACTATTCGACCATCAGTCTTACTTACACATGAACGTACAAAGTGGCAGACGTACACCTGGGTCCGTATCTCGCCGCCAAACTCAGGCATTGGTCCGCCGACAATGAGCGTTGCATGCAAGCCAGTGTGCTTGAAGATTCCCTCCAGAATTGGGAAGATGAAGGCCCTGATTGCTGCGATAGCGCTACAAACAAGTCAGAACGATTGCGAGACTGCCATTGAATGATGACGCACTTGTGTCGACTAACAGGGTCTCGTGAGGGTAAAGCCTTCATTGCGTCCAAATACGCCTTCTTTTTCTCCTCCGCCTCTGCCGACGCGCGCTGCTTAAGTCCCTCCTGCTCCTCGGGGCTTAGCTTGGAAA